CCCCGGGAGAGCCACAGCAAACGCCGCGCAAAACGGCTCGGACGATCCCAGGTCTCGCTCCCGTTCTGGGACCCCAGAAGAAGCGCCCCAGGGCGCCCACCCTCAGGGACCCGAGCCAGCACATTCAAGCGCACTAGTAAGAAAACACAGAGGGAGAGAGACGGAGAGAGATGAGCCGACGGGCTGAGTACAGGGCGGGGACTCACCAAACATCTGAATGTGGCCCTTGGTGATGGGGTTGAAGCTGCCGCAGGCCAGCAAGATAACGTGGGTCTTGGTGGTTTCGGTCATGGTGGCGTCTGCTCGGTTTGGCGCTCCCTCGGAATTCCTCTCGCGCGGCGCGGCCTCTCCTCTTCTTTTTGTGTGTGTCTCCAAGTGTCTGCAGAGGCAGGGGAGGCGAAGAGCTCCCAGCCGCAAGCAGCGTCATCCCCCCCCCCCGCCCAATTTTAACGCCTTCAGCGCCAGGCAGAGTTTGCTTAGCTCTGGGGCACCTCAGCTCTCTCAGGCAGAGCTAAAGCAGAAAGCTAGAGCTAGAGCTGAAATACGCTCGTTTTTGCCTCCAAGGCTGTTGGGATCATCAGTGGTACTTTATTTGTTTTGCCCAGAAAGAAGGTGAATTCTTACTTTCAAGCCAGACTGGAACCTTAAAAGACAACCCAAAGAAGACAAGCTCCTTTATTCTGGTGGAGTTAATTGGGAATAATGATTACTCTACAGTACATGTTGGTCTTATCTTCACACTCACTAAAGCAGATTATATTTCCCATTTTTATCCTCTTATTTCAATTAAAGTATAGTGGGGGGGGGGGGGGGAAGCCATTGCTAATGCTTACAATCTTACAACCTCAATGCTGCAACTTCCCTGTCAGATCCACATAGTGCTCTCCTCTTTTCTTTGAAGAAATGGGCAGTTTAAACTCTGTTTCATTCATGATGGTACCATGTACAGTATCTATAATGCTAATTCCAGAGAGGAATGATCTCATGTTTGAGCCAAATCACAGACATGGTGCTGCCCCTCGCACCCTACAGCAGCTCTTCTTGAAAGAGCAAATAGAGGCCAAGAGATCACAAGCAAGCAAGGCCAGAATTCCAGGAAAGATGACAAGGAGAGACAGGTCCTGGAGTGGAAGAGATCTGAATATGATACTGCTGTGAAACTATATTGAACACACTGATACACCACCATCACTACCTTCTCCCAATAGTACATTTGTACCAACCTAATGAGTTCAGTTTCACTACTGTACTGGTTATTTCAACTCTAAATTAAATAATCCACAACTACTGTTGTCTCTTTGTAATCTGTGCTAGAGGACAAGTAGGCAGGCTTCGCTGGTGGTCTCTTATCTCAGAATTAACCAGGCCTAGCCTTGCTTAGTTTCCAGCCCAGGTAAGGTTAACCTGCTACTTTACTGTCTCCTGTTGAGACTTTGATATATGTGTATGCGTGATTGGTGGGTATTGATTATGTGCCATCAGGCTGCTGTTGACTCACAGGGGGACATAGGTAGACCTTCTTCAGAATGATCTGTCTCCAGCTTGGCCATTCAGGTCTCCCAACAGGGCACTTGTAATTGCGATAATTGAGTCAATCCTCCTTGCTACTAATCATCCTCTTTTTCTCTTTCCTTCTACCTTTCCAAGCATGATAGACTTCTCAAGAGAACTAGGTCTTTGCAAAATGTGTCCAAAATATGAAAATTTGAGCCTGGCCATTTACGTCTCAAGTGGGAACTCTGGATTGATTTGTTCCATGATCCATTTGTTTGTTTTCTTGGCTATTCATGATATTCTCAGAAATCTTTTTCAACACAAAAGTTCAAAAGCATCAATACTTTTTCCAACTGCTTCTTCAAAATTCAACTTTCACTTCCATAGAGTATCACAAGGGAAACTATTGCCTGCAGGGTTCTGATCTTTGTAGATATAGGCACAATATCATGGCATCTGAACATCTTTTCCAAGGCCTCCATGGCTGCTCTACCAAGTCTGCAGTGTATTTCTTGATTGCTGGTTCTTTTATTGTTGTTAGTCAATCCTAAATGGCAGAAGCTATCCACCAGTTCAATATCTTCATTGTCAATTTTAAGGCTGGTTGATGTACCTGTTCTTATTTGTTTGCTCTTCTTTATATTTAATCTTAGTCCATTTTTTTTCACTGTTCTGCTTGACTAGAGTTTGCAGATCATTTCCATTTTCACCTATCAGAATAGTGATATCAGCATAGTACAGTTTATTGATATTTCTCCTCCAATTTAAATCACACTCATCTTCTTCCAGTTCAGCCTCCCTCAACATACCCTCTATAGGTTAAAAAAATAAAGACCGTATATTGCCTTGTTTCACTCCTTTGCAAACCTGAATCCAGTCTGTTTCATCATGTTCCATCTAGACTGTGGGTTCTTGTCCTGTGCATAGGTTTTGCATGAGAACAATGAGATGTTTTGGGCTTTCCCATTTACCTAACAACATTCCACAGCTTGATGTGGTTGGCATAATCAAAGGACTTTCTATTATCAACGAAGCACATATTGATCTCTTTGGTATTCTTTGGCTTTCTCAATTAACCAGCATGCATCAGCAATAATGTCTCTTAAATGGTACATCAGTTTTCAGAATAGGTTTTGTTTGAAACAAAAAAAATGATTCTAGGCATAACATTCATTTTGATCACAGAAATTCTCCCCAGAAAATGACAATTGTAATTTCTCCCATCTTAACGTGTCCTTAATTTCATTCCTTGTCTTAACATAATTATTCTGATATAACATACAATTCATATTAGTCATAGTGATTCCCAAGTATTTCACTTTTTTCTCAATCTTAAAACCAGTTTTTTCCATCAGTTCCATTCATTTTTCCATTTTCATATTGTTTAACATCTTCGTCTTTTGCTTATTAATTTTAAAACCAGCTACTACCCCCAAATCGTTTAACTTTTCCATTAATATTTCTATTCCTTCCAGAGGATCTTCCAAAATTATCACTAAATCATCAGCAAATGCCCATAATTGTATGTTTCTCTTTTAATCCTCACTTCAGCAATTCTCTCATCTTGTCTTATGTCTCTATTCAATACTTCCAAAGCTAAAATAAATAGCAGTGGTGACAAGGGGCATCATTGTCTTTTTCCCTTCTGTATCACAAGGTTTTGTTAATTCCCCATTCACAATTATCTCTGCTTTTTGTGAAATGTAAATCGATTTTACCCATTTAATGAAATTCTCACCAAAATCCATATCCTCCTAAATTTTAAACAAAAAAGTCCAGTTCAAATTGTCAAAGGCCTTTTCTGCATCAAGAAAAATCAATGCTGCTTGTTTTTCATTATGTTGTTCTAAGTATTCCAAAATGTCCAATACATTTCTAATACCGTCCCTCAGCTGTCTTTTAGGTAAAAATCCACACTGATCTTCATGAATAAAGTCCTGTAAGATCATTGTCATTCTCTCAGCTAAAATCATCATAAATAACTTACAACCATTATTCATTCATAATATTGGGGAGTAATTTTTTGGTAAAGTCAAGTCTTGATGTTCTTTAGATATTAATGCTATATTAGCCTCTATCCAACTATCTGGTATCTTTCCAGTCTGCAGAATAGAGTTCATCATTTTTTGCAGCATTTGTAATAATTCATCTTCAAAATGTTTATAATAAGAGGCTGGTAAACCATCTGGTCCAGGTGCTTTCTGTAGTCTCTTTTCTTTGGTATTGATAATAGACTGACCTCTTCCAATCTGTAGTTCACTTTGTCATTCTCCAGACTTGCTAGCATAGTTTAGCTACCACCTTTACTGACTCTTCTTTGATTGCTCCCCACGTTTCTGTAGCTTTCTCACTGGAGTGATTGATCTAACTTCATCTTAGAGCCAGAGGTTCTAGTAAATAAGGAATATTTCCTATGGTATCTTGGATGTTGACATCTCTATTGTACAGAATTTCAGCATACTCCTTCCATCTTTGTTTGGTCTTCTTTGAATCAGGTACTGTCGATCCATTGGCATCCTTTAGCATACCAGTTCAAAGTGAGAACCTCCTTCTGAGTTCAGGGATCTTTTGGAAGACTTTCCTTGATTTTTCCATGTCTGCATCTTTGATGTTTTACAGATGTCATTGTAATACTGATTTCTTTCTCTTCTAGCAGCTCTCTGAAGTTCTTTGTTAAGTTTCTTCCAAAGATCTTTGTCTTTCTTGTTTTGGCTTTGCTTCTCTTCTTGGCAATTTCACTATCTGTTCTGACATTCAATTTGGTTTCTTCTGTTTCTTGTCTTTAGCAGTCTCTTTTCTTATTCATCCTTAACAACTTCTTTGATCTCACCAAGGTTCCTCTGATTCCCTTTCAGTGAGGTTCAGGACTTTGAAGTGATTCCTGATGTATATATTGACAGTCATATCATGGAAACCAGGTGGCTTTGTTCTTCTCATTCAGTTTGACTTGGAACTTACACATGAACAATTTGTGATCTGTTCCACACCCAAACTCTAGTCACATCTTTGCTGTTATAACTGAGTATTTCCATTTCCATGTACCAATAATACAATCAATTTGATTTCTGTGTATTCCATCTGGTGATATCCTTGTATATCAGCATCATTTTAGTTATTTGAAGACTATGTTAGCACTGAAAAAAAAATCATTGGATTGGCATAAATGGATAAGACATTCTCCTGCTTATTTTTGTTTCCTAGGCCATAGAGTCCAACTACATTTTCCTCCTTGCTATTTCCAATTTTGTCAAATCACAAATACCACATCTTGCTTGCATGTTCTGTCAATTTCAGATTTAACTTGACTATCAAGCTAGTCTCATCTTCTTCATCAGTGGTTAGAGCATAAACTTGGATAACTATCATATTAAAGGGTTGTCTGCAAAATCTAACTGATATTATTCAGTCCTTGATTGCATTGTACCCAAGTACTATCTTTGCTATATCCTTCCTGACTATGAATGCAATACTGTTCCTTCTTTTGTGTGTGTGTGTGTGCATATATATATGTCTATCCTGAGTAATAAACATTGTGATCTTCTGACTGAAAATGTCCAATTCTAGTCTATGTCAGTTCTCTGATGCCTAAGATGTCAATGTGTAGTTTATTCATTTCATCTTTCACTGTGTTGAGCCTTCCCATATTCATGCTTCTTATATTCTGTGTTCCTACTTTATTTCTGTCTTTGCAGCTTTGAATTTTTTTTTCCTGGATGGCAACGTAGCAACTAGACATCCCAAAGGCTTTAATCTAGCCACATCATAAACACAATTAGTACTCTGAAAGATCCTAGCTCTTCCTCAGTAGCATCTGACCTGAGGGGCCCATCATCTGGAACTATATCACTTTATTTTATCTATC